GATCGAAAAACAACAGATCTCAGAGATGGAGATCACGAACAAAGAACGATAATCGGAAAAAAAATATCAAAATTCGAACAAAGAATCTCAGAGGTGGAGATTTTGATCGAAGAACTATGTGCGGAAGCAGAAAAACAATGGATCGAACACGACTGATACCATATTAGACTGGAAATTGAACAATAAACTGAATGATTTTCATTAAACAAGATGAACGATTGTACAATGAACAGAGAGAGAGTTTTGGCTGCGAGAGAAGAACCGAAAAATGAAAAGGAAAAGTGAAGTACAATATGTGGTGATCCCTTATTTATATCTAGGGTTTCCACAATGGCAAAATAGTAAAAATACAAATGCCTATAGTTGCTATTTATAAAACAGCAACTTTAACACAAAGTCTATTATTACAAATGCCTATAGTTGTTGTTTTAGAGAACAACAACTTTAACACAAGTTCTAATAACAATTATATGCATAATGTTAATAAATAGTTTGTTTCATTATAAATACTCAACTCATAAATATATGTAGATAATTTTATTTTTAAACAAATTAATCTTATAAAAAGTAAATAATATAAAATAGCTGGGTCAAACTGGGTTCACCGGCCCGATCAATGCCAGGGTTTTGACTCAAAAGCCAAGTCGACCGAGTTGCTCGTTAACCAATTCAAAGAGCCCATCGAGCAAAATTCGAGTATGTGTTGATTTATCGGTCTAAATATTTTTTAAAAAAAAAACACTGTTAGAAGGGAATAAAAAAAAAAATAATTTGTGGTTATTGTGAACCACAATATATATAATGGGAAATGCTACGGTCCCGTTACGGTACCATCCCGTCGGGTATTTTAACCGTTGGATCATCTATCTTATCTAACTAAATATGGATCCAATGGTTAAAACACCAGACGGGATGATACCGTAACGGGACTGTAGCATTTCCCATATATAATACTTATTTATTGGAGATATTGCTGAGTCACTCAATATACAATAGCCAAGACCTATTTTATCCAATGAAAGTCCACGTGGCATAACTTGATTCATCCACAACCTATCCATGTTATCTTAATTGCCCCACAAAATCATCTGCCAAATAAAATAAAATAAAATAAAGATTCAACATTTTATTTTTGTTGCTTCAACTTAATATACTCTGCCCAAAAATTAGCAGAGGAAAAGAGGAAAAAATCAAAGATAGAAAATAATGGCAGCAGCAATGGCTACTTATTCTTCTCCAAACAAACTAAGCCTCTCCTCAGGTATTTTTTGCTAAAATGATATTAATTAGTGAAAATGCTACGGTCTCGTTACGAAACTATTATGTCGGGGTTTATAACTGTTAGATCAACTATCTCCGAAGTTACTTGATGATCTAACGGTTACAAACCTCGAATAGAATGGTTCTGTAACGTGACAGTAGCATCTCCCATTGATTAGTTGTTCATTTTCAAACTTTTATTTATTATTTTTTTTCTATTTCAAGAATTTGTTCGTGAAAAAAAAAAAAAAAACTTTTATCATGTGTTTTCATTATGAAAGTTGAGATTTTTTTTTTAATTTTTATTTATAAATAAAGTTTGTCTTATTGCCTTAGATCATTTTGAGTACATGTGAGTGATTGTTTGGAGACAATTAAAAGAGAATGGGTATATTGTTTGGAGACAACTAGAAAACGATAATAAATAAATAAATAAAATATTAATTTTAAATATATAAATAGACATAATTGATGAAAATTCATAATTTTGATAAAATGTCAATTTAGGTCGAAATTATGTGATTAAAAAATATAAAAAAGAAAAAAAGTTCGTGTTTTTTTTTTAGTAGAAATTGTGAGAAGATAGGAATATTCTTTATGGATCATTAGAAGAAATAATTAAGTCCAATGATTTTCTATGGTAAATAGTAATCATTCAAAAATATTCCAGAATAAGATTGTCACACTTCGTAATTTATAAAGAATCAAATTAGATCTTAAAACTATATAAATTGGGATGTTATTTAATTATTTGAATTGCGTTATATAAGATTCCTTTTATTTGGTTATCCGTTATATAAAAATAAAAATCACACGCGTCTTATTACTAATTTTGCACTTTTGTATCTACTTATTTTATTAGCAAACAATTGTCCAAACATAAATTACCTATTTTGACTCTAAAATTAATACCTCTCATACATATTAATTAATGTTAGTCAAACTAACAGTAAGATATACATCGATTCACGGTTTTGCTATGAAGCCAATAATTGACTCCATAGTGGAGTCAACCTTCTATATACAACAAATAAACATATCATATTATCTGATTATTTAAATAAATACTAATAATTTTACTAATATGGTATGATTTAGTTGTTGTATATAGAAAGTTGGCTCTATTATGGAGTCAATTGTTCGCTTCATAGCAAAACCGTATCGATTCATTATATTTATTTACAAATATACATACTTTGTGTGTGTGTGTGTGTTTTTTTTTGTGGTTTTCATTTGAATCTAAGTATTTTAAATACATATATTTTAAATTACCTACAAAAAAAAAAAAAATGTTTGGGATGAAGAAAAAAGACGGTAAAAAGGCCAAGAAAACTAATATGAGTGGTATTTTCCTTAGTTATTATTATGGCAATAAATCCCTAGAGAAAACTATTAATTTATACGACTCATTAATCACAAGAAAACAAAAATAAGTGGTATTTGTTATAAAATATTAATTTATTAATTCTTTTTAACGTATGATGTTTCAAACTATTTGTTTGGTAGATATTCATGCAGTTGGATAATGAATAATAATTTAATTTGCATTTTAACTCAGCAATTTTCCGTGCAATATTTTTTTTTCGGTACAATTTTCCGTGCAATATTATTCAATTGCAACATTACAACGTCTAGAAAATAGGACCAATCGAGTACACAACGTATAAATTATGGTCCGAAGGCAAACGAAAAAAATAAATAAATACATAAATAAAATGATCTGATATGAAATAGTGATGATATATAAGAGCATCTCTATGGCTCTTGATATTATAAAAATTCATTCATATTATTAACTTTTGAAAGTGTGCTATTAATTTGTTCTCCAATGCATCTTGTCATTAGCTCTTTTTCACCTTTTCCAATTTTAACATTATTCCACTTTTAATCGTGCAGAATAAAAACAACCACAATTCCCCGTCTTCTTACAATTGCCTTTTCTGAATTCGACGAGCCGCTCATCGCAGCTCCTCGCCAACAAAAAATCGTTCGCCCTTCTTCTCACAATCGTCTTCTCTAAATTCGACCGACCGCCCTTCATTGCCAGCAAAAAATCGCCCGCACCCCAACTCATCGCTGGCAAGCCCGCTCTTATCCGACGAATCGACCACGACGGCAACCCCGCAGCTCCTATCCGGCCTCTGAAATCAGGTACTCTATTCAACTTCTCTCTCTTTTTTGGTTCGAGTTAGGGTTTTTTGTTCAAATTAGGGGTTTTGACTCTTAAATTTTTTATTCGAATTAAGGTTCATAACCTTAAATTTTTTGTTCAAATTAGGTTTGGTGCTTGGTTTGAATTAGGATTCATGAGGATTATTTTTGTGTATTTGTTTATTGTTGATGCAGATGATGTTTTCAGGAAAAAGGGTCTTTCCGGGTGGAAGCTTGTCGGCGTCGACGTCTGGTATAAGAATTTCAGCTTCAATCAAGTGTAAAGAGGTTCAAGTCTTTTCATTCAAGTGTTAATCCCGTGAAATTGTTCTACTCGTTTAGTCTTTTTAGAGCCTAAGGAAAAAATAATTATATTTTGATTGTTCGATACAAGCGTCGAGTTTGTTTGGCAGTCTACATGTCTTCTACAAGTTTGTTGATCTATTTTCATTTTATTCATTTGATTTTAATTTTGTAGCTTTTTTTTCATCTCTTGGGAAAGAGAAAACCGATATTTATTATCTTCATTCTTCAGCCGCGAAGAAGATATTCAATTACCGCTGGTGATGCCAAGTATAGAAAAATGGCTTCGGTTTCCGCTTTTTGCACACCAAATATCCCTTCATTCTGCAGGAAACCTATATCCAAAAACCTAGTTTTATGCCCATTTGAAGTAGATTTCCCTTGGTGCCCAGCCCGAACGAGTGCGATAAAGGCACATTCAGACGGCGCTGGCCCGACTTCAAATGGGAGAGCGGATTTGTTGAGATGGCCAGCGTCCTCGGACCCCGACGACGATGATGATCCAACTTATGAGGCTGGGGAGAAGAAGGGTGGAGATGGTGACACGTGGGTGGACTGGGACGACCAGATTTTGCGTGACACTGTGCCCCTTGTTGCCTTTGTTAGAACGATTCTTCACTCTGAGAAGTGAGTTCCTTAATCTCGTTTCCTTCTCTCAAATTTGCGTTTATTTGGGTAAACTAGTGTAGTTGGTTTGCAGAACGATTTTTTGAATTCACAAGGCGATATATAGGCAAAATTTTAATGAAAGGGGATTATTTGTCCAATATTAAATTGTTTACGAGATTAACTTTGGGAAGGATGACCGAGGACTAAATAATATATATGTGTATAACTGTAATTATATATTCAAGAAAGCGTGGGAAGTTGAATTGTGTGAATTCTGATGGTTATGTAAAGTATAACGTTATCATTCAGCTTCAGTGGAATGATTCGAGAGTGTTTGGAATCACTGAAAAGAGTCCGCCTACTTACCCGTAGCCTAAAGATAGGAAGATGGGTGCTTTAGATTTTGAATTTTTGCATCTGGCCATGTATTTTACACGTATAGGATCACTTTTAGGACTTACCTAACGACATGAACGCTTTTATAAATCATCAGTAAGCTTCATTGCAAACACTACAAAATTTTAGTTTTCAGCTACTTTAGCTTCTAATGCAAATATAATTTCTTTTAAAAACCATGGTTAGACTGAGTCACAATTTGGGTGTAGAATGGTTATATTGAGTATTGCAGATTTCTTGTGTGAAAAGACACTAATTTTTGCTTAATCCTATTTTATGTACTCTCTTCTGCAGATACGGAAGTGGTGATAGATTGAGTCCTCAGGATGAGAAGACCATTCTGGAGAAGCTACTTGCATATCATCCATCTTGTGAAAAGAAGATTGGATGTGGAGTTGATTATATTACGGTATGGCAGTGTCTATAATTTGTAATTTGCTTCGTTGGTTTCCCAGCTTTTGTTATCAAGAAGATAACTAACTATATAAAAAACGTTTTGCTCTTGGCTGAAGTACTTTGCTCGTAAGTTTTCCAGTAAATTCTAAAATATGTTTCTCTTGCCTTTTTTTTTCCTTTTTCTTTTTCAGTTTGGTGACACTAGTTGTGTCTAACTTGATACATGATAATAGACATACTACATCCACATTTACACGAACATATAGCATAATCTAGCTATTAGATTCAGGCATACTTCTTAACAACGTTACCCATCCTGTATTACATTTGGTAATGCTGATTGAGAGAGATAGTTTGCTTTCTTTCTATTCAATCTTATGTTCTTTATGATTACTTTGTTTTCATTTTCATGACGTGAAAGCAATAGCAGACATTGAGGAAGCCACTTTATGGAAAAAAAAAAAAAACTTGGTTTCTTATCCTCGCTATGTAGAATTGTAGATAAACAAAAAAGCAGAATATTTTGGAAATGGAGAGATCCTGCAATGCAATAGATGCTGGCTACTTATTTTCGATTTTGTTATTGCAACTAGTTATTCTTTAAGATCCCCATTTGCTTGTTGCTTAAGCTTGAATTCTTTCATGAAGCCTTTATGATGGTTTTCGAGGCTTAGAAAGCTCCTTTTTTCTGCCAATGCAATATATGGCTATTTCATTTCACTTTCCCGAATATATATACACTCGTTGATAAATTTTGCATATCTGCACGAACACATTATTTATGTTTTACTAAATCAATTTGTATGAGGATCTGTTTTATTGTCTAAATGATCGGAGCATTAAGGCTATTGTAGGTGGGTCTAATTGTTAGACAGACATACTTTTTCTACAAACGTGCATATTTTCACAACAAAATGTCGTACTTTAAGAAACTTAGTAGGCAAAGGTATGGCCTTTTATAGTGCATGTTACTGTTGCTAAATTAGACGAGTCTGACTCGGCTCGACTCGAGCTCAGCTTGTTAAACCTTGAGTTCAAGGTCTTAACGAACCAAGCTCGAGCTCATTTAAGGCTCGTTTGGTTAACAGTTCGGTCGATAATGCTCGAAAAGAGAATTTTGTATAATTTTCTTATAGTTCGGCTCGTTAATTTGGCTCAAGCTTGAGGCCTTAATGAATCGAGCTTGAGCTCATTTATTTAACGAGTCGAACTCTGTTCGGCTCGTTAAGGGCTCGAGCACCCTAATCTCAACTTCGACTCAGTTCGTTTACAGGCCTACTTCATGTGTACATTTTTGTTTAATAGTGTTATTCATTGATCCTTAGGCTGCTTTAAACCCGTTCGACTCAAAAGTATTCTCGTAAAAAGGCACTTGTGGATAAAAGTCGAAAAAATAAGTTCCTTGGCATTTTAAAGCGGACAAGTTATATAGTGTTGTATTTTCAATTTTTCTAAAATCGTGAAATTTTATAATACCAATATCAATAAAAATTAGCCTGCACTGATGAGATAATTACAATTTATTTACATGACATTGCCCTTCATGGAGCTCAATTTTTTCCGGTTTGTATACAACAATTTCATTTATTTATTTATTTTGTATTTTTTATGATCAACAGATTGGATACCATCCTAATTTTCAGAGCTCAAGATGCTTATTCATAGTTCGTAATGATGGAGACTTGGTCGATTTTTCGTATTGGAAATGCATAAAAGGCCTAATTAGAAAAAATTATCCTCTGTATGCGGAGAGCTTCATTATAAGGCATTTTTCGCCGAGTAGGCGTAGAGACTGAAGGTGAACAATTTTTGCCATGGAATTTTTTGTCTGTCTATTGCTTACTGTATTCCGAAGGTTATAATTTTAGTTGAATTTGGTGGGTTAAATTAGTAGTATATAATACTTTTAAGGAAGGCTTATTGATTGATTGTTGTATTTTGTATCATTTCATTGTATGGCATAAATTTGTAAGTTTCTACCATGAATTTTGATTTCTCTAAAATGATTAAGAATTTTGTACATCTGTGGTACATAAACATTCCCGGGTTCTTTCTTTTATGACTCTCTTTGTTCTCAACCCAACTTAATAATTATAATCATTTTTCTCTTATCTTATAATCCAACCTTACAATTCTAACTTATTTTTATCTCCAATTCAATTTAAAATATTTATTTTATTTTTATTTATTTATTAAGTATTATCTTCAGTTAATTTTTTGTTCACAAGTAAAACCAATTATGTAACTAACCAATAATAACTTTATTATACATGTAGTTAGTGGATGTTAGTCGAGAAAAATTATAAATTATAATTTGTCGCGTTGCGACGAGCGATCATCTCTGGTTGCTGGCTTGCTCGTTCTATAGTCAAGGTTCTTTGATTTCAGTTTCACTCAGTTCGCCTTCTTGGTTCCTATCGGAAGAAGATATAGTCCTCAAATTGGGGTCGGTCCAACTCTGTGAAAAAGAAGCCAAAGAAATTTCAATTGAGCCTGTAGATATCAAAATTAGTTATGATGAATGTAGCCGCAACTTATTTGGGAAGATTATTGAGAAGAAATAAGCCAATCTGTTAGGTTTAAAAGAACCATGATGCAAAGTTGGCAAATGAGGGCTCCGGTCGTTGTTAAAGAGCTAAGTAAGAATTTCTTCCAATTTCTCTTCTCAAACCCTGCCGATAAATGTAACACATGGTCCAATCCCAATGCCACCTATTCCCGAGTTAGATGCCTCTTTGTCCTGTTCATGGGTCCTGAAGCAAGAAACAGTTTCTTGAGCAACTGAATCCTTTTTCTTGAACAAGAAACAAGTTTCTTGAATAAAAAACGAGCAAGAAACGGGTTTCTTGAGCAAGACAAGAAACGAGTTTTTTGCTCAAGAACTCAAGAAATTTGTTTCTTGCCCGTTTCTTATTCAAGAAACTTGTTTCTTGTTCAAGAAAAAGGATTCAGTTGCTCAAGAAATTGTTTCTTGCTTCAGAACCCATGACATGACAAAGAGGTATCTAACTCGGGGATATGTGACATTGGGATTGGGCCATGTGTTACATTTATCGGCAGGGTTTGAGAAGAGGAATTGGTAGAAATTCTTACTTAGCTCTTTAACAACGACCGGAGCCCTCATTTGCCAACTTTGCATCACGGTTCTTTTAAACACTAACAGATTGGCTTATTTCTTCTCAATAATCTTCCCAAATAAGTTGCGGCTACATTCATCATAACTAATTTTGAAATCCACAGGCTCAATTGAAATTTCTTTGGCTTTTTTCCGCAGAGTTGGACCGACCCCAATTTGAGGACTATATCTTCTTCCGATAGGAACCAAGAAGGCGAACTGAGTGAAACTGAAATCAAAGAACCTTGATTATAGAACGAGCAAGCCAGCAACTAGAAATAATCGCTCGTTGCAACGCGACAAATTATAATTTATAATTTTCCTCGACTAATATCTACTAACTACATGTATAATAAAGTTATTATTGGTTAGTTACATAATTAGTTTTACCTGTACGTGAGGCGAACAAAAAATCAACTGAAGATAATACTTAATAAATAAATAAAAATAAAATAAATATTTTAAATTGAATTGGAGATAAAAATAAGTTAGTGTAAGGTTGGATTATAAGATAAGAGAAAAATGATTTTAATTATTAAGTTGGGTTGAGGACAAAGAGAGTCATAATAGAAAAAAACCCGAAAAAGTTTATGTACCACAAATGTACAAAATTCTTAATCATTTTAGAGAAATCAAAATTCATGGTAGAAACTTACAAATTTATGCCATACAATGAAATGATACAATGTACAACAATCAATCAATAAGCCTTCCTTAAAAGTATCATATATTACTAATTTAACCCACCAAATTCAACTAAAATTATAACCTTCGGAATACAGTAAGCAATAGACAGACAGAAAATTCCATGGCAAAAATTGTTCACCTTTAGTCTCTACGACTACTCGGCGAAAAATGCCTCATAATGAAGCTCTCCGCATACAAAGGATATTTTTTTCTAATCAGGCCTTTTATGCATTTCCAATATGAAAAATCGACCAAGTCTCCATCGTTACGAACTATGAACAAGCATCTTGAGCTCTGAAAATTAGGGTGGTATCCATTTTGTTGATCATAAAAAATACAAAATAAATAAATAAATGAAATTATTGTATACATACAGGAAAAAATTGAGCTCCATGAAGGGCAATGTCATGTAAATAAATTGGAATTATCTCATCAGTGCAGGCTAATTTTTATTGATATTGGTATTATAAAATTCCACGATTCTCGAAAAATTGAAAATACAACACTATATAACTTGTCCGCTTTAAAATGCCAAGGAATTCATTGTTTCGACTTTTATCCACAAGTGCCTTTTTACGAGAATACTTTTGAGTCTCACGATTTTAAAGCAGCCTAAGGATCAATGAATCACACTTTTAAACAAAAATGTACACATGAAGTAGGCCTGTAAACGAACAAAGTCGAAGTTGAGATTAGGGTGCTCGAGCCCTTAACGAGCCGAACAGAGTTAGACTCGTTAAATAAACGAGCTCAAGCTCGGTTCATTAAGGCCTCAAGCTCGAGCCAAATTAACGAGCCGAATTATAAAAAATTCTCTTTTCGAGCCTTATCGACCGAGCTGTTAAACAAACGAGCCTTAAATGAGCTTGAGCTCGGTTCGTTAAGACCTTTAACTCAAGGCTTTACAAGCTGAGCTCGAGTCGAGCCGAGCCAGACTCGTCTAATTTAACAACAGTAACATGCACTATAAAAGGCCATACCTTTGCCCACTAACTTTTTTAAAGTACGACATTTTGTTGTGAAAATATGCACGTTTGTAGAAAAAGTATGTCTGTCTAACCATTAGACCCGCCTACAATAGTCTTAATGCTCCGATCATTTAGACAATAAAACAGATCCTCATACAAATTGATCTTAGTAAAACAAAAATAATGCGTTCGTGCAGATATGCAATATATGGCTATATGCAATAATGCGTTCGTGAAATGAAATAGCCATATATTGCATTGGCAGAAAAAAGGAGCTTTCTGAGCCTCGAAAACCATCATAAAGGCTTCATGAAAGCATTCGAGCTTAAGCAACAAGCAAAAGGGGATTCTAAAGAATAAATAGTTGCAAAAACTTAAGAAATTAAAAATACGAAAAGAAATCCCCAAATCCTCTTCATCTAACCCTAGTCGATCGACACCCCCGCGTGATCCTCTCCTCCGGCGGCCCTAGATCTCTCTTCCTCTGGCGAGCATCTGGCTCCTTCTGGGCCCTGCGGCGAGGCTGTGGCGTCCTTCCGTCTCCTCTTCCTTGAGTGGTCCCAATCTAGAACCGATTGCCATGGCGGGGGAGGGATGACGGGCGGCGCTTGCGGCTTTTGTCCGGCGGACGTCGTGAGCGTCCTTGCGGCGGTTGATGGCGGTGGTCTAGCCGTGGTTCCCCCCTTGCCCGGTCTTCCCTGGTGTTTGGAAGAATGGGCCCTCCAGCGGCGGCTGTGCAGTGGTGCAGCGGCTTCGGCGTACGCGTGGGGGGGCCTGCGGAGTGGTCCGGTCTGGATTGAGTCTGTTGAGTATTGGGCGGGCTTTCGAGTTTTTGTGGTCCGCTCTAGTTAGCCCATTGAGGGAGTTTCTGGAGCTTGTGTTGGGTCGTGGATCTCAGGGCTTTTCTCGGTATTTCGCGATGGGTGTTTGTCCGGAGTGTGGCGGTTCTGGGCCTTTCCGTCGGATGGGGAGGGATTTAGTTGGTTCGCTTTCGTTTGTTCTAGGATTGTGCTTCTGTGTCATTGTTTTCTTGTGTTGTTAGTGTGTTTTTAGTTTTGAGTAGTGTTTTGTATTGTTTGAGTGCGTTAGTGTTTTTTTCTCCGTCTTTAGGAGTGTGAATTCTCCTGTGGGGAGTATGTATTCCTCATTAGTGGGGTTTTTTAGTTTTTGTGTGTTGTGTTTTTTCTAGGCTACCTCTTGGAGTAGTCCTCCTTTATTCGGCTAGTGAGCCGGTTGTAACTATGTGTTTGTTTTTTATATAATATCTATCGTTTGAAAAAAAAAAGAATAAATAGTTGCAATAATAGAATGAAAAATAAGTAGCCAGCATCTATTGCATCGCAGGATCTCTCCATATCCAAAATATTCTGCTTTTTTGTTTAGTCTACAATTCTACATGGCGAGGATAAGAAACCAAGTTTTTTTTTTCTTTTTTTTCATAAAGGGGCTTCCTCAATGTCTGCTATTGCTTTTACGTCATGAAAATGAAAACAAAGTAATCATAAAGGATATAAGATTGAATAGAAAGAAAGCAAACTATCTCTCTCAATCAGCATTACCAAATGTAATACATGATGGGTAACGTTGTTAAGAAGTATGTCTGAATCTAAAAGCTAGATTATGCTATCTGTTCGTGTAAATGTGGATGTAGTATGTCTATTATCCTGTATCAAGTCAGACACAACTAGTGTCATCAAACTGAAAAAAAAAGGAAAAAAAGAAAGGCAAGAGAAACATAGGTTAGAATTTACTGGAAAACTCACGAGCAAAGTAGTTCTACCAAGAGCAAAACGTTTTTTATATAGTTAGTTATCTTCTTGATAACAAAAGCTAGGAAACCAATGAAGCAAATTACAAATTATAGACACTGTCATACCGTAATATAATCAACTCCACATCCAATCTTCTTTTCACAAGATGGATGATATGCAAGTAGCTTCTCCAGAATGGTCTTCTCATCCTGAGGACTCAATCTATCACCACTTTCGTATCTGCAGAAGAGAGTACATAAAATAGGATTAAGCAAAAATTAGTGTCTCTTCACACAAGAAATCTGCAATACTCAATATAACCATTCTACGCCCAAATTGTGACTCAGTCTAACCATGGTTTCTAAAAGAAATTATATTTGCATTAGAAGCTAAAAGGAGCTGAAAACTAACATTTTGTTGTGTTTGCAATGAAGCTTACTAATGATTTATTAAAGCGTTCATGTCGTTAGGTAAGTCCTAAAAGTGATCCTATACTTGTAAAATACATGGCCAGATGCAAAAAAACGAAATCTAAAGCACCCATCTTCCTATCTATAGGCTACGGGTAAGTAAGCGGACTCTTTTCAGTGATTCCAAACACTCTCGAATCAATCCACTTAAGCTGAACGATAACGTTATACTTCACATAACCATCAGAATTCATGCACATTCAACTTCCCACGCTTTCTTGAATATATATTTACAGTTATACACATATATATTATTTAGTCCTCGATCATCCTTCCCAAAGTTAATCTCGTAAACAATTTAATATTTGACAAATAATCCACTTTCATTAAAATTTTGCCTATATATCGCCTTATAAATTCAAAAAATCGTTCTGCAAACCAACTACACTAGTTTACCCAAATAAACGCAAATATGAGAGAAGGAAACGAGATTAAGGAACTCACTTCCCAGAGTGAAGAACTGTCCTAACAAAGGCAACAAGGGGCACAGTGTCCTGCAAAATCTGGTCGTCCCAGTCCACCCACATGTCACCATCTCCCTTCTTCTCCCCAGCCTCATTAGTTGGATCATCATCGTCATCGAGGTCCGAGGACGTTGGCCATCTCAACAAATCCGCTCTCCCATTCGAGGTCGGGCCAGTGCCGTCTGAATGTGTCTTTATCGCACTCGTTCGGGCTGGGCACCAAGGGAAATCCACTTCAAATGGGCGTAAAACTAGGTTTTTTGATATAGGTTTCCAGCAGAATGAAGGGATATTTGGTGAGCATAAAGCGGAAACCGAAGCCATTTTTCTATACTTAGCATCACCAGCGGTAACTGAATATCTTCTTCGCGGCTGAAGAATGAAGATAATAAATATCGGTTTTCTCTTTCCCAAGAGACGAAAAAAAAAGCTACAAAATTAAAATCAAATGAATAAAATGAAAATAGATCAACAAACTTGTAGAAGACATGTAGACTGCCAAACAAACTCGACGCTTGTATCGAACAATCAAAATGTAATTATTTTTTCCTTAGGCTCTAAAAAGACTAAACGAGTAGGACAATTTCACGGGATTAACACTTGAATGAAAATACTTGAACCTCTTTACACTTGATTGAAGCTGAAATTCTTATACCAAACGCCGACGCCGACAAGCTTCCACCCGGAAAGACCCTTTTTCCTGAAAACATCATCTGCATCAACAAGAAATAAATGCAAAAAAATAATCCTCATGAACCCTAATTCAAACCAAGCACCAAACCTAATTCGAACAAAAAATTTAAGGTTATGAAGCCTAATTTGAATAAAAAATTTAAGAGTCAAAAACCCTAATTTGAACAAAAAACCCTAACTCGAACCAAAAAAGAGAGAGAAGTTGAATAGAGTACCTGATTTCAGAGGCCGAATAGGAGCTGCGGGGTTGCCGGCGTGGTTGATTCGTCGGATAAGAGCGGGCTTGCCAGCGGTGAGTTGGGGAGCGGTTGATATTTTGCTGGCAATGAACTGCAAGGGGCGGTCGGTCGAATTCAGAGAAGACGATTGTGAGAAGAAGGGCGAACGATTTTTTGTTGGCGAGGAGCTGCGATGAGCGGCTCGTCGAATTCAGAGAAGGCAATTGTAAGAAGAAGGGGAATTGTGGTTGTTTTTATTCTGCACGATTAAAAGTGGAATAATGTTAAAATTGAAAAAGGTATAGAAATTGGAAAAGGTGAAAAAGGGAAATTTGGTCTTTTTGCAACCTAAAATGGCTAGATTTCATCGTTTTAGAAAGATGGTCATATTTCATTTTTGTTTTTACTAAAGTGCTAAAAAGAGTCATTACCACTATATATATATAGGTGTCCAAACATCACAAACACTAATGTTGTCAAACTGTTAGTCGAGCCGACCCGTTATATTATTAAAAAGTTCATACATTTTTCAACAAATATGCATTCATTTATACTGAAATCTTTTTATATTAAAAACACTAATGTTGTCAAACTGTTAGTCGAGTCGACCCGTTATATTATTAAAAAATTCATACATTTTTCAACAAATATGCATTCATTTATACTGAAATATCATACTATTAAACACCACATACTATTAAACACCACATAAAAATATCATACTATACAATGTTATCATCCGACTTGATAATCCACATTACCTAAGTAAATACACAGCTCCAAGTGGCTCCACCTCGGTCCAATCTTGAAGAAACAACCGGACTGTGCCAAATTGAGGACGAAACCGACATACCGAGGTTGACCAAAACCGAGTTCACCAAAACCAAAGCTGGTGATCGCACCCTCATGATGCTTACGCAAACCAAGACCCACTTCATGATTACAAGTGGGCCCAGCTGACATTGCCGCCCACCTTAAAGATACTTTATAAGAAAAGCTACCGTACATACCTCGTAGTTAGTGTCAGAAAGTTTACTATAAATAGCTGACTCTTACACTTTGTACAAGGATGGCACCTTGACAATTTCTTCATATACACAAAACAGCTCCAATAGCTTTCACCTCGGTTCACCTCGGGCCGAGGCCATCGTCTTTGTTTTATTACGCAATCTTAGTTAATTAATCATAAAAATCGATCCAACATCAATATAAACTCGTTGTTGTAATCCACATAACACACAACATAAAAAAATATAATTTTTCATAGCATAAATATGAATTTTGTCTAAGAAAAATATATATCTGGTCGACTTGCCTAATGATAAGGCTAGCTGCCTCGCATAAAGATTTGTGTTCATATTATAAAATATCATACTTTCATAGTATAATTATGCATATTCATTTAAAAATATGATTATCTAACTCTATTTAACAAACAATATACACAAAGTTCATGCACTACAGATAGTCGAGCTAGTGGTAACTAAACAAAGATATATAATCAAAAGCACTCATATATTAATTTAATAAATGACTTGGATAACACTACAAATTATGAAATTATCAAATAATTAACTATATTTTATGTGTGAGGTCGTATGTTGGAGAACTAAAAACAAGTATTTTATTTCTATAGGTGACAGATGCATTTGGTCTACATAAACAATTACTCTTATATGTGATCTCACAATTATTTTCTTTTAAATTTTTTTAAATGTGTTGGTCATGTGCAAATAGATACATATAATGAATGATCAATTATTAGGCCCATCTATCATTAGGAGAAGAAACTTTATTAGATTCTGTATTTGTATTTTTATTCATTTTTTTAATTATTATAGAGAGGAATAAGGGAGATGAGAAGAATAATCCATGTACAAAATTGTGTTGGTACATTATTTAAAAATTATCTTTTGCTTTTGTTTCATAGAATTAGGTTTATTTAATATCTATGTATATTAATTAAATATTATCTATTAAATTTAAAAAATCTGCCCACCATAGAAAATAAACCAAATAAATCTACATAATGTCTACCATAATGAAAAAAAAAATAATAAATAATATTATAGTAAATGATGTAGCTGAAGATGTAAATTAATTAATTAATACATATATAAATGTGTTTATGTTGGATAGATGGACAATTTGGCCTAATAAGACATATGCTTTATTTTATTCAAGAAATACTATAGTTTCGTTACGGAACCATTCCGTCTGGGTTTGTAATTGTTAGATTAACTATCCCGACGGTTACATGATGATCTAACAGTTACAAACTTTGACAGAATGGTTCCGTAACGGGACTATAGCTAGCATCTTCCTATTCAATTGAAAGTTTTGTATATGCTGAAAGTAGAGGAAATCAATGTAAACAGTGGTGATCACATCTAACTTAATTATATTATGTATTACTTTGTTTATTTAATTTTTGATTTTCCAAATTTATTATGCTTGTCGTGAAGTGACAAATCATATGATGGCCAAAAAAATATTATATATTAGAAGGCTCAATAATCAATTATAGACTTGGTGGCGTCGCAGTCCAATTCATGTTATCTTAAATAAATAAATAAATAAAATTGTTAGTTGGATCAATCATCAATATATCTTGCAGAAAATTTTATTTTATCGGTGATCGAAGTGTTAGTTACTGAATTTTTTATTGTTATGTGCTAATTCAATAGTAAAAAGTCGATATAAGCACTGCACTCGCCAGTAGGTTCAAAACCTTTTTTTTTTTTTCTTTGATAAGATTCATTGATTTAATTAGTTGTTTTCATTAAAAAGAATTACAATTGTAATTATTGAATTAACTCCTGAAATAGTATATTGATGATTAAATGCTTTTATTGAAAAATACTAGTACAACGCTCGTGTATTATACAGGTGCTTGCTAATTTTTTTTCTTAAAATCTAAAATTAATAAGAAAAAATAGTTGAAAATTTAAATACATTTTATAAAAATATATATATTATTATATATTTAGTATTACACTTTTTATTTGTGCAACTTACTGTGTTATATTATGATAGTTTTTTAACTTACAACATATAACTACATTAAACATAAATATATCAATTGAGAAATACTTTTATTTTTCTAATGAATTTTAATAAAAATTATTATTTATTATTATTATAAAGATAAATATAATTTGTTTATTTCATATATACAATATGGATGTCAAATCGAAGATCATCAAAAGATGATTAATTTGATATATTATATATGTAAAACCGATAAGAAATACAAAAGTTATCAACTTTTAAAATACATTTATAATTCAATAGGTTATTGAAGGAAACAAATCAAAATTCAGGGATATATTAGTCACTTAGTGCTCACTATGTAAAATTACATAGAATTAAAGGGTTACATTAGTAAAAATGATATTAAAATACCTAAGTTAGCTAAATAACATTTATGGAATACCCGAACCTAGATTATTAATTATTAATATATCAATATTATTTATCCAAACCTAATTACGAAGCATGATTCTTCGCCAAATAGGATTCCGAAGCACCAGAAGCAGCCACGTAGACTCAGCGCATTCTGGAATTATATATAGGAAGGATATTGAAAAATACTAGTACAACACTCGTGTATTACACGGGTGCTTGCTAATTTTTTTTCTTAAAATCTAAAATTAATAAGAAAAAATAGTTGAAAATTTAAATACATTTTATAAAAATATATATATTATTATAT